AATTGACCCAAGTATAGTTTCAAGAGTTCAAAGAGAGTTCAGTTTCAGGGAAGCAGTTCTCCACTTAATCAAACACACAGTATTTATATAACAAAGACAATAAGGAAAACTTTTAGTTTTTACAATTTTCCCTAAGTGAATGTGAATGGTTTGAAAAAAAAATGTCTATACGTAGTTATTTGCAAAGAAGTGGTAACTAACCCTAAGCAATAAAAATTTTACAATCTTGCAACAGCATCAAAATCAACAAAATGTTGTTGGGACAAGATTTACAGATTTAAAAAACAATTCTATTGGAATTTACCTTGTAATATTTGTCTGACTGCTACCACATGTGATTAAAAGAACAGGAGACTTTATTTAAAATAAAAATAAAAAATCTAATTAAACAAACTCTGAACAGATATAATATGAAATTATTTACTTCAAGAAGACATAACTTGGGCTACCTTGGTTCTCATTTATTAATGTTATCAGTGAAGAAATTTTCAAATATTCATTTTTTAAAATGTCTGGATGTATAAATGAACATGTTCTTGATTGAATCTTAATTTTCATAATTGTAAAAGTGAGGTTAATTCCATGTCTTGACAACTATCTATAAACATGTGTGTGTATATATATACTATGTAAATTACAAATTGAAATGTACTAATTCTATCCATATTCATCTGTTCATTAGCCTATACACCTTATTGGTGAACTCTAACTCTGTTATGAATATAATTACTTAAAATATATTTTATGCCTATAAAAAGAAAAGAAAGAGAAAAAAAAAGACATAAAGGAGTAAACTCACAGTGGATGTCTAGCATCAGGTACACTTCGATTAAGAGAAATTCTGTCACTGATGTAAACATTAAAACCTGCTGACCTAAAGAGTTCATCAGCTAATGCTTGCTCCTTCTGGTTAAGAATTACAGGTTTTTCCCCTTCTCCTAGTGCAGGGGTTATTTTTATAATTCCATAATCAAGGGCCACATTTTGGAGCTTTCCTTCAGACTTATTATTACCTACATCAAATCCCTTCTTGTAAATGTTTCTTCCTTTTATATGTTTATCTAATGTTTTGACATCTAAACCTCCACGTATCTCTCCATTGTGGTCACTATACTTACTATCTCTTCTCATAATATCTGCTGGTAAGGGTGGAGGTAACACTTCTTTGTAATCATCCATCTTTTTTTTGTCACTTCTCTTTCTGTCTAATTCTAAGGCAGGTCCTTGAATTTGGTGATAATCATCATGCCTTTCTAAAGAAGGTTTTTGCAAGCTTCCTGGCTGGAAAGGATTTATTTTTTCCACTTTTCCTGAATTCTTTTTATTTTCATTAGTGTTCTCAGAGATTGAGAAAGTATTTGCTTCTGATTTTGGTTTCAGAGACCCTTGTTTATACACTTGACTATACCAAAATACAACACCCAGTGTGGCAGAGGCAATCAACAGAAATTTAAAAAGAGTTAAACGACGACGTCTGTTAAACCACCACGCAAACATATTCAAGCAAAAATTTCAGAGGCTCAGTAAAAATAGGCTAGTCGCGTGGCACGCCAAAATTTCCATAATACAGGTTACGTCAAAATTGCCTCGTCGCTATCACAGTATTAGTATCAGTAACACCCAGTACCACTATCACAATCGGTAGCACTTACGAGTCCCAACACTAAACCACAGAACTATAGCTTAACATTTCTTATGTTTTTATATCCGGACTATTTAACTATACAAGTAACCAATTTGTGTATTTATATTATAAAGTAATGCAATGTTTTACACACATTGGACATAACCTACTAAACCTGTTTACACACATTAGTATATCACAGTCAATACACACAAACACGTAGAGCTGCCCTCTATAATACACAATAGCTAATAAGTTTCATATTTCATAAATTTTCGTTTGTTTGTTTGTTGTTAAGTCAAATATATAAAAATGGGTGCTCTGCCTATCGTGGGTATCGAAATCCGAATTTTTGCATTAAAAGCCATCTGAATTATCGCTGAGCCATCGAAAAGCTTAAATTTACGTAATGCTAACTGACATATGATTATGAATAAATGAAAAGACCGTGAATTTTAGAGAATCTTTCGATTTTTTAATACTACTATAATGTTTAGGCTTTACACCTTCATCAGAAGCATAGCTTTTGTGTAATGATTTCCATCGCTCATTATTATTAATGTAAATAAAATAACGATCTATAGCTTCAGAATTGGGTCAGTATTTTGCATTGCAGCCTAGTTAGTGTTTGTTTGAAGTTAAGCACAAAGCTACGGAATGGGGCCATCTGTGTTCTGTCACCACGTTAATCGAAACTCGATTTCGACCGTTGTAAGTTCGTAGACATACTGCTGTGCCACTGGGGGTGGGGTGGGGGATGGCTTAGTTAGTGAAATTTATTTATTCTGTCAACGTTTCATATGACGGCTTCATCAAGAGATTACTCGTATACACCCAACTGAACACAAGCCCGCTCTTAATAGAACAAACAGCCGATCTAATTAAGAATAACAATAATGCGTTCTTACGAATCGTTATCAGAAATAAAAAAGTAACAATAATATCACAAGAATGTAAACGTGATAGAAAAAAATTGTTTAAAATCGAAAAAAAAAAAGAGTCATGTGAACATACAAATCTAATAAATGTTTAAAGGTACAGGCGTAGCGCAAACTGTGTAAGTCACACTGCGAATTATTTCATCTACCCCCCTCCATATCCGATTTATTATAGTATTATGCCCGCACATCCTCTCCCCCCCCCCTCATTTCGGTCTCTGCTGCATGGTAATTACGCCACTGTGTAGAAGTAAAGCCTTAAAGAAGTTATTACCACACATTAAATTTTTTTTTCAAAAACATAAAATAAAATAAGTATGGTAGAATGTATTGAAACGTCTGTGTGCACATACATAACTCCATCATTTAGAATGGCAACCCTCTATCCCTGTTAATTGAAGTATTCTCAGATCTGATGAGAAAAGACTTTAATAAAACGTGCAGTGCACTCCTTCCTATCAACTTCATCCATAATTGTAGCTCGGAGATGTTCAATTACAAAAGCAAATAGAGATTTTGTCAATATTCAAACATATTAAAATCTTAGGAATGCAATTAACATCTTTACACCAGACGTCAGTCTTTATATTTGTTCATTTTAGGCCTTTTTTGAATAAAAAAGGATTCTTTAACTTTTCGGTCAAGAAAACTTGAAATTTAGATAAAATACTGACATCCGATAAGATGTTATCTGCTTATCGTATCCCATGTTCTTTACCATAACTAGCTGAAAGTACCTGTTAAGGAAACAAAAATTTGTATAAAAGACGATGTTAGATAATATTCTACTTCGTTCTTTTGTTATTAAATCCTTATTTACCTCATTAGATGCTCATTGTGTACTCTGCTTTATGGAAGGTAATAGCTGAATTATTTAACTGATTAAGTACGTATGTCTTTGAATTCAAAGCCAAATAAAAAAAAAAGTGGAAGTATGCTCTATTTTAGAATGTTTTTGAAACCCCTTCTTGGGTAAAAATCCTAAAATAAAATAGCCTGTATACACCGTCGGACAGTTTCTAGACCATACCAAAGCACACATGGACTACATGATCGGTGATGTTGTAAGAACGTTGTTTATGATGTAACTTGTGGCAGGTGCTCGAGTACGTACATAGGAGAAACATACTGACGTGTACATAATAGAATGTCTGAACAGTACGTGGCAATCAGGATTTCAATACAAACAATGCTATTGCTGAGTATTTTGATGTAAAGATGATCCATTCTGTGTGTACACTTATGTTTTATTCATTATGCTGCTTTCTTATATGCTGAATTATTTATTAAGGATTTTAGGGAAATTCCTCATTTTTCTTGCATTTTAATAAATAAGTCAGATATTATAATTATTCTCGTACGTGTTATGGTAATATTATAACTTATACATAGTATCACCCAATTAATTCGAACTTCAAATGTGCGTTCCTTATTTACATGGTTGAAGGGAATATGTCTCTTTTGTTTTTGCCTATCAAAGTATCTTATTATGTTTTGTATATACTCCTGGATGGAATAGAATGTAATTATCTGTAAAAGTACTTATAGATACAAGTAAGAAAATGTATTTCATATACGTAACATATCCTATTCTAAATCCTATAATTTTTATAGTTGACCTGTTGATTTATATACGTCGTTTATTTACCATTGTTAATTCGGTTTGTTTCAACAACTTAAATTCAAGGATATTTTATATTATTTTGAACATGATCTGAAACTTTTAGACACGTGTATCAATGGTCGATTAATTGATGATGGTGTTCCAAGTTGATTTCAACTGGATTAGCGAATTTGTAGATCATCGATAGCTCCTGACGAAACTCTACTAGCGAAATATTGAGCCAATAAATATACATTCTATAGGTATAAGTCGTTATTTTATTTACATTAATGAAAGTCTCTCGTAATAAACTCCAATTTGCAGTAAACGAAGTTAAGAATAATAACTCTATCCTTCAAATTAAGGTCGAAAGGTTCTTTTGGGTACACGCATGGTCGTTTCATTTATTCATAAGGCCCTTAAGTTTCAAATGACCTTAATTGTAACAATGTTGAAATTCAGTTTCTAATTTAAATTTATTTGTTTTTAGGAATTTTTTGTAAGCTAAAAATTTATTTTTGCTCCATGTATTTGTACATGATATGTCAGAGTTTTCATAAAATAATCAGAAATATACGGAAACTTTACAGATATCTTTTGTTATTTCCGGGATCATTGTTTTTACTCCTATGTTTAAAAGTTAACTGTATAACTCGAAAAGTTTCTATGTGACATTTATCAAATTTGGTTCAATGGTTGAGTGTTCCATAAGGAACAATTGATTAATCTTTCGTGAATGTAGATCAAAAGTCAAAGTTACACTGAAAGTGAATCACATAACTCGAAAAGTTTCATCTGATTTCGATCAATTTTGGTACAAAGGTTGAGTGTCTTCTGAAGACCACTTGATTAACGTTTGGTGAATAGCTTAAAGATTAAGCTCATATTGCAGATCAATCACTTCCGTTATTCCAAGAACTTATGAGTGAAAACACAGAACAATGTGCAATAATATAATAGTAACAAACTGAAATGTTAAAAATCTGTCAAAACTGGAGAACGGATTGTTTGTATGTTGAATTTCGTACAAAGCTACTCAAGGGCTGTCTGCGCTAGCCGTCGATAATTTAGAAGTGATAGACTAGAGGGAAGGCAGCTATCTAACATCAACAAACGCCATCTCTTGGGCTACTCTTTACGAAAGAAAAGTGGGATGACCGTCATATTATAACGCCCCCGCTATTAAAAGAACGAGCATGTTTAGTGATGGGATTCGAACCCGCGATCTGCAAATTGCGAGTCGAGCGCCCTAACCACCAGGCATAGCCAAGCCAAGAGAACTGAGTGACATAATAAGATCTTGACACCTAGACTTACATTTTTGAGGGTAAGGAATTGTTTGGTGTATTTTCTAGGTTGATAACTGCAAAAGTAAGAGGCAGGGATTACATTCTTTGTGTGCCTGTCTTGCTTACATTTATCTGAGTAAAACAATTAATCGAAAAAAATTTTAAGAAGTTTCTGTATTTATTGAGCTACATAAAAAATTTGAATAAGCCCGGAAAATCAATATACCGGATGTTAAGTGACTAACCATCTTATGACAGTAAAATTGGAGTTTAACAGCATATTCTATGTATATTGAAATTGAAAGTTAGGTGTGGGTGGGCTTCTTTAGCGCAAAACTATACAATGAGCTATCTGTGTTCTGTCCACCAAAGGGCACTGTACCTTAAATCTTAGCACATTTTAAGTCCGGAAACTTATTGTTGACCCACTGGGAGGACATTTAAATTGAAAGAGTTACACATATCGCAATAAATAATTTTACTAGAAAACTTTATTTTTTGTATTCTCGTAATATCTTCATAATTCGTAATCAACTAGGCTCTATAAACGTCAATTTACCAATCACATAAGAAATTTAAAAGCAGTCTAGTAATCTTTGGCTTGAAAATTTGAAACTGTGCAAGACAGGAGATAACGGATACAACCAACCACAGAAATAGTTTGTTTGTTTTTGAATTTCGCGCAAAGCTACACGAGGGCTATCTGCGCTAGCCGTCCCTAATTTAGCAGTGTAAGACTAGAGGGAAGGCAGCTAGTCATCACCACCCACCGCCAACTCTTGGGCTACTCTTTTATCAACGAATAGTGGGATTGACCGTCACATTATAACGCCCCCACGGCTGAAAGGGTGAGCGTGTTTGGTGGGACGGGGATTCGAACCCGCGACCCTCAGATTGCGAGTCGAGTGCCCTAACCAAGATACCACACCACAGAGTACGGGTTTGTGTGTCTCTCTCTCCGAAATCTGACTGAATTCTTCAACAGGAAAGGAGAAATGCACAAGATTTAAGTTCAGCAATTTTATTTCACAAATATAATCAAAAGGTAAACGCAATACACAGTTTTAAAAAATGGGCAAGTGTTTGCTGTGGATGTGTTGAGGTAACGAGATAGAGATGTGAAAAAGAAACCTTGATGAATTATCTTTCACCAGTCCAGTGTAAGTCATCCCCCTTGTAAGCTAAAACACACACACACACACAATTATACAATCAAAGCCAAGTTCTCTCACATCACGCTCCTTGCGCACATGATGTAGAATCGAAAATGTTCAAGATTAGGGATTTTGAAGTAGCGCACCATCACCCGATTCGCGAACAGAAAAGACAACCTTTCATTTCAAAACCTCACAGTAAAGTAACAGTGTCTCTCTACACGCTTACTGATCA